CATTTTATATTGGTGTTGTTTTAGGGAATATTAAAGAAGGTATTAATTCTACCTGAAAAGGGGATTTACCAACTGTAGGGACAAGGGTCAGGGTCATACTGGTGACAAATTATAAAGTGGAGAATCCAAATTGATTCCATAGTTAATTCCATGTTAAGAGAATAGTTTATCAGGTCATGAAAAATAAGAAAAAGGACAGCCTAGCCATGGTGGCATATGCCTGGAGGCCGAGGCAGATCACCTGAGTTAGAGGGCAGCCTAGGCTATGTAGGGAGTTCAAGGCCAGCCTGAACTACATAAGGAGACCCTGTCTGAAAAAAAGAAAAAGGAGACAGAGGCCTACCTCCAGACCCCAGTGGTGACTGATTTTCTTTCCTTTTAGGTGCATCACTTCATGGAGCTATGTTGGGATAAATGTGTGGAGAAGCCAGGGAATCGCCTAGACTCTCGCACTGAAAATTGTCTCTCTAGTTGTGTGGACCGCTTCATTGACACTACTTTTGCCATCACCAGTCGGTTTGCTCAGATTGTACAGAAAGGAGGGCAGTAGACCAACCCCTGGGAGAGTAACAGAAGCAGCAAAGGACTTGTTATTAAGCAGATTGAAGTGCCACTGGGCGAAAGAGTTGTTAACCCACTGTCAGGTCAGCATCAGTCTGTTGCCAAGTCTGTTGGTGCTAAAAATGTACAAAACATTTATTTATTTGGAATTCAGAAATTCCAGGTTGTAACACATCAGTTATTCAATAAATGAATTCTTCAACTCTTTTTTTTTTTTTTAAATCCCATTTTAGGAGTTAACATAGAGATCTCTGATTGGAAGGAACACTAGAAATAAATGTTCCAAGGCTGTGAGTGGAAGTGGGAGATCATAGGTTTTGAAGAGCCACCTTAAGCCAAGTTAAAGGGTCAGAAGAACCATCAAAGCCTTAGCCTAGTGCATAAAAGAGAATTCAGGGTTGAGAAAGGTGAAGAACAGAAAAAGCTTTATTGCTTTTACATGGCCAAGAATAGATGTGGCAAAAAACCCCAAAAAAACCATGTATTCCCTGGGAAAAAGTTAAGCCTGTTAGTATGGGTGGAGGGAAAGATCAAGACCCAAACAGACCCACCTCTTCCTGGAGGTGCTTTATTCCACTGGCCTACTTTCCTGTATCTGTGCTTAAGAATCAGTACTTTTAGAGCATAAAAACAGTGCTTAAAAAATACATGGTAAAAATTTTCAACAAAGATTCCACTTGTCCTGCGAAGGTTAAGAGGTAGTGTAGACTCTTCCCATTGTAGGCCTCCACTTATCCCAAGGATAAAAATATACACCAGAGAACATTGACAATTGAGTACCAAAGAATATCTCAAATAAATATCCCAAAAGATAGCACCTGCTCATAATGAAGGAACAGGGCACTTGTAGCCAACCATGCAAGTTAAAACCAAGCATTTAGAAATCTGTTCCACAAAGAGAACTAAGAACTATTAAAATACCACTTCATGTAATGTCATCATAGTTGTATTCTATTGCTGATGTCTTGAACTATCATACTACCATGAAGTATTTTGTTACACATGAGGAAAGTAAGGCCAGGGAGGTTAACTTAACCTGCTCTAGAACTCTACCAATTATCAGCCGAATCAAGACCAAATAACTGGACTTTCTAAGCTTTTTACTCAGCTCATGAAGTTGACAACCAGGGAAAAAAACTAACCTGTCACTTTACCTTCCCTCCCATAATGAAAAATTCACTTGTATTCTACCAGCCTTCTTTCAGTGATATTTTGGTTTCTTAAGAATTAACATAGTAGGGATCACAGTATAGCAAAAGGAAAAAATGTGGTCTCCACTTGGTACTTTAATCCAAAAGCTGTCTAGAAAAAAGTTGAGTATGTCCCTGAGAAGCTTGTTTCATTTTGGAACTGATTCAACTTAGTTTCAGGGAAAATATAAAATTAATGAATAGAATTAGAAATGAGTAAGGAAGACAACAGGGCTGGGGGTATAGCTCAGTGGTAGATCACTTGTCTGGTATAAGGCCCTGGGTTCAATCTTCAATACTGCCCCCTCCCCCAAAAAGAAAAAAAAGACTTAGATGGCTGTCACTCTGAATCTCTTTCAGAACATAATTAGCATAACTGACTCCTAATTCTTCCCATTTAATAGATGTCACGGCCAACAACTGAAGAAATAATTTCAAACACAAGTCCATTTAGGCAATATACAACAATGGAACTCCAAACCATTTACTATCCAATTACCAGATGTTAGGGCTATAAGGAAATTTGAGAAAACCCTAGTCCCTTTTAATAGTTGTCGGTAGATATTATCATGAAAGGCAGTGCTTTGTTCTTATGCCTATTCCCTCATTAAGTAAACTAGACCATAGCTGTGGAATCAAAACACTGAAGGATCAAAGCACCAAGGCTAGAGACAAGTTAGATATGACACCTACTATGTAAATGACAGAGAGCAGCGTAGTGTTCCCTTGTCCAACCACTGCACATAGCATTGCTTCCAATCCAATTCTTGATCCCAGCCCTTAATTTCCCCCAATTCAACATTCCAGTAGGTGTACCCAGGTCAATATTGGATTTAGCTTTCTGGGTCCTTTAATTTGCTATATATGTACTCTACACTAAATGTGATTAATTGCAAAAAATAATCTCTTCAAGAAACCTTCATAACAAAATACCAGATTTCCCATTAACAAGAAAAGGGGATCAAGTTTAACAGGCCAAAATAGAAGACAAGGAGTCTGTCGAAACATGTATAGCTGGCACAGAACAGCTCTGACTTCAGACCCCCTATGCTGAAGAAGTCATTAGCAAAAACCCCTAAGAGCTGTAAATATGCAGAGTCAAGTGGGAAACAATGTTTTCTTTCCCATTTAGTCATCCTCAGAGCTCTCAGCAGATCTCTCATCTGTAGCCACTTTCCAATTTGTGCGTTTGTTTGTCCTTTTTTGTATTTCATTGTTAGCTACAGGAATATGGACTTTTTCCTCTCTCTTTTTCCTTTTGGTTTTCTTAGTGTCTCTTTCCTCACTTTCTTCAGAACTACTGGATGCTGAATCATCTGACTGGGAAGTGTGACTTTCTGTCCCTAAAAATAAAACTGGTTTTTTGAGAGACTTTTTTCTGGATTTTTTCTTGCGCTTATGTGGTTGCTTCCTTTTCCTGGTACTAGAAGCACCAGTTTCTTCTGAGAACTCACTTGAAGAATCTGCTGTTATATCTATGGCTTCCTTCTTGCTTTTCTTCTGTTTTTTGTGTGACCTTTTTTTCTGCTTCTTTTTGTGGGACTTCTTTGACTTCTTATGTTTGCGGGATTCATGGGTAGATGATTTTATCTGAGGAGATGTTTTCTTCCCATTGGTAATATCTTGCTGATCACTACTAATAAAAAGGTAAAAAAGATTATCTTTTATGTAGAAAAGTATTTATATTTTAATACTCTGCATTCTAGGAAGGAAATTGTTAACATCTGAATTTCGTATCAGAACTTTGACATAGTTACTGTGAGACTTATCTACTTTTTTTTAGTAGGTTGGTATTATAACATTTATTAAAATAATGCTATAGGTTGAGACTTATCTACTTATATTTTTCGGAGGTTTTGTTCATCTTTAAAATGAAGATAAAAAAAGGAAGATAAAAATTCTAATCTGTCATATTAAGTTACTGTATAGAATCCTAACCACTGGTCCCTTAGTCATGTTTTCAGTTACCCAGTGATTTGTTACCCATTGTTAGCCATAATCTGAAAATATTAACAATGCATGTTTCAACTGTATGTCATTCTAAGTAGCATCATGAAATTTCTTACTCCCCTTCTGTCCCACCCGGACCTGAATTATCCCTTTGTTCAGCTATCTCCCCCTTAGTCATGTAGTAGCCATCAGGGTTATCAGAACCACCATCATGATATAGCAGTGTTTGTGTTCAAGTAACTATTATTTTACTTAATAGTGTCCCCAATGTATAAGAGTAGTAACACTGGGAATCCAGATATGCCAAAGAGAAGCCATGGAATACTTCCTTTAAGTGAAAAGATAAAAGTTTATCATAGGTATGTATGTACAGGAAAGAACAGTGTACACAGGGTTCAGTACCATCTGAAGTTTCAGGCATCCACTTGGGGGTCTTAGAACCTATCCCCAGTAGACAAGGGAAACTATTACATACAAAAACCAAAATGTTTACAGACAGGCCTAACGTCAATCAAGGAAAGGCTCAATAGGGATTGCCTTCCAACTAAATCATGTTTGTTTTGGGACAGGGTCTTCCTACATTGCCGAGGCTGGACTCAAGTGACTCTCCTGCCTCAGTCTCCTAAGAAGCTGGCACTATAGGTGTGCACTACCACACCAGGCTCTAGCTACATTCTCAGTGGCAAATATAGCCTCTAGAAAGTTTGGAACACAATTTAGAGTACAGGTTTTGTACTAATCTTACTTTCTAACTTTGTCCAGTAAGCCTATTTGCCTTACCTGTCTGTTTCAAATTCTTCAGGGTATAACTCCTTATAACCACTGTGACCCCATCTGTAAAATGACACATTAAGTGTATTATTAAAGCAATGCATACATTTTTGGAAATTAAAGTTAGATGTTGAAGCACATGCATACACAGACATACATACACAACAAACAAAACAAGAGACATGGTAGAGCCAGTCATGATAGTTTTGTAACAGCTACATTTTCTTTACTGTACACTACCATTTTGGACAAAAGATTCTTATATCCATTTGTAAAAGAACTTCCCATGCTCTTCTTTAAGAAACACTAAAGGACTCTTATACTTTTTTTTTTTTGGTACCAGAACTCAGGTCCTTGAAGCAGCTGGCTAAACCACTGAGCTAAATCCCCAGCCCCTCTTACACTTTCTAACTGTGTATTTTCTAATGCTGTCTACAATAGAACAATTGTTTTTATAAAAATAATACAATAAATTTAAAATGTTTATTGAAATGTGATTCACAGACCAAGAAATTTGCCTTTTTTTTGGTTTTTGAGACAGGGTCTCTATGTGTAGTTCAGGCTGGCCTACTCAATACGTAGCCCAGGCCAGCCTCGAATGTACAGCAATCCTCCTGCCTCAGCCTCCTAAGTGCTCAGTGCCCTTTTAGAGTATAGTGCTTCATGAGCCAAATTAAACCTTTAAAAGAAAGAGTGCCTCTATCCCATGCCAACTGTTAATCTATTTTCTGTCTCAATGGACTTGTTTATTCTAGACATACCACATAAGTGATAATACGTGGCCTTCTGTGTCTAGCTTCTTTTACACCTTGGTAAGATTTTCAAGATTTAACCGTGTTCTACCACTTATCCACGTCATTCGTTTCTACTCCCAAATAATATTCCATTGTATGGACATCCCATTTTGTTTATCCATTCATTAGTACATAGGTATGTGGGCCCTTTTTTTGGGGGGGGGGGTACCAGGGATCAAACCCGGGACCTTGCGCTTGTGAGGCAGGTGGCAGCATCACTGAGCTAAATCCCCAGCCCTGTGGGCCTTTCTTTTTTGCACAGTACTGGGAACCGACTCCAGGGTATGCTGAGCTACATCCTCAACCCTCCTTCTGTCTTTTGAAACAGGATCTCGCTAATTTGTGCTAACCTCAAACTTACGACTATCCTGAGTCAGCTACTCAAGTAGCTGGTATTATAGGCCTATACTACCGTGCCTGGCTTAGTTTTCCACTCTGACCAGTACAAACACCTTGTGTACAGGTTTTTGTAGGAACAACTGATTTTGACAAACACATGTTTTCAGGTCAATTATCATTAAAGGTCACAGGAATTTAGTCACAAACCTGTCTGGCATGTTAGCTTCATAATCATATAACTTCTTGTTCCAGGACTTAGCCTTAAGAAAATTATCTTCCAGTGTCCCAGAAATTTCAGTCTTTGGCCTCCAGTATTCTCTCTGACTTTCTTCATCAAAACCATCGCTACGCATCCGACTACAGAAGAAAACAAAAGAACTTTTAGATTTCAAAACAATCTATGAGGTTACTTTAGAGAACTCATGCACAAAAATGATAGAACACCTTGAAGGGAGAATAAAACAAATACTTAAGAGTTTAAAAAGAAACGATAACATGTATTGGACATTACCTATTCCTCTGTGCTATAGTCTGGATCTGCTATGTCTCTCAAAGGCCCATGCAAGGCTTGGTTCCCCAAAGTGGCACTACTGGGAAGTAGTAGAACCATTAAGAGGTGATGCCTAGCAGAAGGTCTTCTTTAGGTCACAGGATGGAGGAGGGAACTATGGGACTGTGGCCCCTTCCTAGTTCTGTTTTTTGCTTTCTGGTCATGAAATGAGCAGTTTTGCTATACCATGTGTTCTTGCCACGATGTACTGCCTTGCCACAAGCCCAAAGCAATGGAGACAATCAGTGGACTGGAATCTCCAAAAGTGTGAGCCAAAATAAACCTCTTCTCTTTATAAATTAATAATCTGAGGTATTTTGTTACAGTAACAAAGAGTTGACTAACACATTATTTATAAAAGACCAATTAAAAGACAAGCATGGTGGGTAACACCTGTAATTACAGCACTCAGGAAGCTGAGGCAGGAGGACTGCCACAAGTTCAAGGCTAGCCTGGGCTACATCATTTAAGGCCAGCCTGAATTACAGAACAAGACTCTGTCTCAAAAAAAAAAAAAACAACTAACCATTACTACCTATCCTATTGTAGTGTATACAGCGGTACCTCAGTTTACAAACTTCATTTGTTTTATGATTGTGGGGAAGATGGCCGTGGTTGTTTGTCACCTGAGGGGGAGTTTGTGATTGGAAGCAAAATTTTGCTGAAGGCTTTGTTTTTGAACCGAATTGTCTGCAGATCCATTCATGAACTGAGGTATTACTGTAATTGAAATCACTCTTAGATTGTGTTATGCTGTAATTTCTCATCCCTAGGACATAATACCCGATACCCACAACCCAATACCTAGGGCCAAGCATGGTGGCATATGTCTGTAATGCCCCCTCCCCCACAATTTGACCCAGAAACCCTGTCTCAAAACCATTAAAAAAAAAAAGGTTTAATTTTGGCTCACTGTTTCAAGGGGATTCAGTACATGGGTGGCTGCTCTAAGACAGAACCATCACAGGAGGGCATGGGACAACAAAGATGCTTAGCTTATGATAGCCAGAAAACAGCACAGGGGAACAGTGCCAGAGAGGAAGGGGTGTGAGACCAGACATAGACCCCATGGCATACCCAAAGTGTGCTCTACCATTCCTGCCAGCAGATCCCAGAGCCAGTCAAGTTGACATAATCAAGCTTACACGCCACATTCATTTACTAATTCACAACTAGGAACACATGCAAAGAGAAAAATCAAAACATAATCACAGCCACTGTGCTGTCTTGCATGGTGGCCACCCTCACATTGTAGGGTATATGTCTTTTCCTACTTTTATTTGGCTCAAACTTACTCTGAACAGCCTGTTTTTTGTTTTTTTTTTTCCTACCTTTAATAAAACTCTGCTACCCTTTGTGCTTGTCTTTACCAATTCTTTGCTCAGGACAGAAAGAACCTAGAAACCACCTCTAGAAAGAGACTCCAGGACCCCAAAACCCAGTAACGTATTTGGCTTAGCCAGCCAAGAGAATAGGTAACGCCCTTTGGGCAATTTTTGTTGTTGTTGTTGTTTCTAAAAACATAATCACAGCTGGGGATGCTTTAAGCTACCCTAGAGATTCTGAAATACATATCTCCTTCCTCTGCAAACCAGCAATTTGCTGTAATGAGATCACAGTAACAGTGGGAACAAGGCTTACCCCATGGGAATGATGGAGTATATACAGTCAAGAACCACTGATCCAGCCTATTTACAATGTCCACTAATCAGGCAATAAGCCAGCTCATCAGTTGTTTAAGGGGCTCCTATATGTCAGGCACTGTTTTAGCTGGTAGGAGTACAATAGCATACAAGACTCAGAATCCTACTAAAAAGATCACGTCTTGGGGCCAGGGATTTAGCTCAGTGGTTCCAGTGCCTGCCTTGCAAGCACAAGGTACCGAGTTCAATCCCCGGTACCAAAAAAAAAAAAAAAAAGATCATGTCTTAAAAAGTTATTAGATTCTTATTTATCCATTAAGAGATTTATTCATCATGACAGACATTAGTAGAGTTTACTCTAAAAGAGCAATCATTTTGTTTGTGGAAACACTGCTTGAAATTGAAAAATTAATACAAAATAAAATCGCCATCTGTGCTAACTATACTTCTAAATTCTCAAAGGACCACCACCAGAAAGATAAAAACCTGAAAGATATATTTTTCTGCTAAGACTCTGCTATATAACCATGTAAAACCTAATTACTTCTTATATGAAGCAACTTTGACACACCCAGTCATACATCAAAGTACTACACACAATCTGCAGCCATACATGCTTTAAAAATCTCACTACTGGGCCGGGATTTAGCTCAGTGGTTGCGGCACCTGCCTCGAAAGTGCAAGGTCCCGAGTTCAATCCCCGATACTGTTACCAAAAAAAAAAAAAAAAATCTATTGATTTCCTTAGGTAACTTCAGAAATCAGGATTATTATTTTATTTTATTTTATTTTTTTGAGGCAGGGTCTCCCTATGTAGACAAGCTGGCTTTGCATTCACTGTGTAGCCTAGGCTGGCCTCAAACTCATGGTGATCCTCCTGCCTCAGCCTCCCAAGCACTGGGATTACATCCATGAGCCACTGTGCTCAGCTACACTCATTTTTCATTCACACACTCCTACACTTACAGCCATGAGGCCCAAAACACATTCCCTATTACTTGGACATTCCTATACCTCCACAGGTAAAAGACAACAAAGCCTGTATAATCCTTCATATTCACAAATTATTACAAAGAAAGCGTGAAAGGCTATTGACCTGACAAAGACAGTGAGTAATGGGGTAAAGAAAATGCTAAAAGAATGAAAGACTAAAACAGAAAGGAGTGATTGGTCAGTTAAGTGACCAGTTAGGTTCAAACAAAATCTTAAGCTAAAAGTTATAAGGCAAGTTTGGAATTCACAGAACCCTAAACATTTACAATTGTCCAAGACAGAATTTTTAAATTTTCCATTGTAAGTACAAAAAGTTTGGCCACAGGTATCACAGCATGATCCATAGCCATTTTCTTCACGTTTTGTGTCTAGATTTGCAAAACAGAGCCTTCTTAATAACATACAGATCTATCCTTACTATATCACAATGGTTTTGCTCATTCATTTTTACTTTTGGTTTTTTGAGACTGGGTCTATGTAGTTCAGGATGACCTTGAACTCACTATGCAGTCCAGGCTGGCCTTGAATTGATGGTGATCCTCCTGACTCAGCCTCCCTAGTGCTGGGATTACAAGTATGTGCCACCACACCCGGCAGTATATCACAATGTTTTTAAGCAAAAGTTGATGATTCTGAAAAAGATGAGAAATATTTTGGTTCTCAGAGATACAACTTCACCTTGAACTGCTGGGTAACATTTTCCTTTTGGTTTCTGGGTAAGTATCTTCCATCTGTTTCTCTATTTCTCTTATTTTCCACATATCTGATTCTTCCTGGATCTAAATTTTTTTATAACAGAAAAGAAACAAAAATAAGTCATTAAAAATTAGCATTCTACCCTACAGAACAGTAGCTAACTAATTACTCGGTTATAGCCTGGGCTATGATCAGGCACTTAGAAAATAAATTCTGGTTTCTCTAGAAAGTGGTTCAACAATCCAACCTAGGAAATCTCAAATACAGGAAATTCTTCAACAATAAAATTTTTAATCCCACATGTCTCTAAGGTGTAATATGATTTTAATTGTATCATTTTGATTGAACTTTGACCATTCTTATATGGAAAGCAAAATGGATACCATTACATTTTACTGAAAACAAAAGCTAAGAGATTTTATCAAAATTTAAAAAATTAATAAGGACAAATCTTTAAACTCACTAAGGCTAAGTCATTTTTCATGTTATAATTATTTATTTATTTATTTTTTGGTACCGGGGATTGAACTTGGGTCTCCTTGCACAGCAGGCGGAGAAACCACTAAGCTAAATCCTCAGCCCTCATGTTATAATTTTTTCATTCAATTTTTATTTTTTATTAGTACATGTTTGCAGTACATAATGATTACATTCCTCGTGGGGACTTGGTACATGATACATCTTATTCACATTATGATTACTGTCAAAAATAGTAACAGTGTAAGCCAGGTGTGGTGACACATGCCTGTAATCACAGCACCCAGGAGGCTGAGGGAGGAGGATCACTGTGAGTTCAAGGCAGCTTGGGATACACAGTGAGATTGTCTCAAAAAAAAAAAAAAACCAGTATGGTTGCTAGAGAACTTCCTAAAAATCAGACTACAATGCCCAAAGAACACAAACACATTTTATTTCTAAGTCCTCCTGAATAACTTGTAAATATGTGCTAGATTTATCTTTTTTAGCTACCACTCTCAAATCATACAACTATGAGTTGGTTAATACAACTGCTTAGGCAGCATGATAACAATCACACATTCACCCAATACTGAAAAGTCAAGTGATGTGACGGTAATATTTATGGTCAAACCACTAGTACAGTTCACTGAAGAAAACTACACATGGGGACTGGCTTTCTTTTCATTACATGTGCTCTTCTAGCTGACCTTATCTACTCTCATGACCTCCATCATCTCCCTATAAACCAATAATTCAAACTCATGTCTAGCCCCAACTTTTCTTTCTTCCAAGTTTGAATTTTAACTGTAAGCCCCTCATCATAAATATGTTCAAAACCCAACCAATTATATTTCATCTTTTGCTGTTGTTCCATATTTTAATTAATGTGATCATCATCACCTCTCCCAGGTCACACAAGGTGAATATATTTAACTCCATTCTTACCACTATCATCCAATTAGCCTCTAGGTGTTTTACCAGAGATTCTATCTCTGAAATTCCTCTTCTTCATCTCTGAAGTTCTGCCTTCACTCAAACCCTCATCATCTCTCACATGCAACATTACAATCACCTCCTAATTGGTCTCCCTATTGTTTCTCCTCACCTAATCTATTCCCTAATCACTTATCTTTTGAAAATACAAATATGAGCGTGTCACACTCCGTTTAAAACATACAATCAGTTCTTTACTGCCTAGAGGAAAAAACTGTAATCTTCAAATATCACAGACCAAAACTATACTTTGCCACTTATGTCTTATCTTCTGGCACTGTCTCCTCTATGCCCCGCCCTCACCCAGTACTGGGGATTGAAACCCAGACTCTTTGCACTAAGCTACACCCCCAGCCATTTTTTTGGTACCAGGGATAGAACTCGGGACCTTGTGCTTTCGAAGCAGGTGCTGGAACGGCTGAGCTAAATCCCCCGCCCCCTTTACTTGTTTTTTGAGACAGGGTCTCGCAAAGTCCACTAAGTCACCCAGGGTAATCTTTTTTTGTTTTATGTTTTTTGGTACCAGGGATAGAACTCAGGACCTTGTGCTTTCGAGGTGGTCGCTGGAACCACTGAGCTAAATCCCTGGCCCCTACCCGGGTGATTTTGAAATTTCAATCTTCCTGGGGCTGGGGATTCAGGAAACCACTCAGTGGTTCTGCTGCCTGCTTTGCAACTGAAAGGTCCCGAGTTCGATCTCTGGTACCAAAAAAAAGAAAAGAAAATAAACTGCCATCTTCCTATCTTGCACCCAAGAGTACTTAGGATTATAGGGTTGCACCTCCCCATTCCTAGCACATTCTCTATCCACTTTGCTGCCATGTCCTAAGTGATTCATGGTTTGTCTATTTTCTGTGATGCTGGGGATTGAACTCAGGGCTTTGCACATGCTAGGCAACCACTCTACCACTGACCTATATCTCCAACCCATGCACCTTCTCATTGTCATATATTAGTACATAATGCCAAAACAACATTTCACACAAGGTAAACCTATACCCATTCATCCAGAACCAGTTCAAGTATCAGTAGCTCATATATCACTCATTCTGTGAAATCTTTTCTGATTTTCCAAGGCAGATTTCATTATTCCTTCCTCAGAGCTTGAAAGCACTTACTAAATGTTTCTATAATATAGTATTCATCAAACAGTACCATAATTATCTATTTCTTTAAACTTGTATCTCCTAACAGCCAAAATAATACTTGGTGCAGTGTGTCCCCTCATTCAGTATAGAGGAATGACTGGATTGTACCTCTCACCTTATTGTGAGCATCTGTATGCCGAATGACATTTCTCAGGAGGACTTTCCCCAGCGGAACCCGGGACATTCTTCAATCTGAAATGAATCAATCAATAACATTCAATAATAATTTCCTTCTCTTCTAAAGAAGCATAAAGTTAAGATCATTGAACTAGAAGTCAAGGTCCTGAAAAGCAGTATTTCCTTCATCATTAAAAGGCTGAAATGCCTGACAACAATTAATATAAGGGTCAAAGGAGCTGAGGTAAATCAGAATTCTTTCAAACTGTACAAGATTGAAATTAAAGGCTTTCATGAGTACCATTTTATTTAATCCCTACAATGCTCTGTTTTAATGAAGTAAAACAGTCCCTCAGTATCCACAAGGAATTGGTTTCAGGATACCCACAGGTATCAAAATCAAAGGATGGGGCCGTGTATTTAGCTCAGTGGTTTCGCTGCCTGCTTCGCAAGCACAAGGACCCGAGTTCGATCCCCAGTACCAAAACAAAACAAAACAAAATCAAAGGATGCTCACATCTCTCATTTGCATATAGTCTATGTACTTTCCCACATACTTTAAATAATCTCTAGATTAAGTATAATACCTAAAACAATGCAAATTCTATGTAAATAGTTGCTATTCTGGACTGTTTAGGAAATAATCACAAGAGTCTGTACATGTTCAGTACAGATGCAATTTTTTTCAGAGTATTTTCAATTGGCTGTTGGTTGAACCCAAAGATGTGGAACTTTGGGTACCGGAGGGTCGACTGTATCTCCATTTCTATTTTGTAGGTGAAGTTCCCTTAAAAAGCCCTAACTTGCCCCAAGCCACAGAGTCCCAGGCAAACGATGTAGATCAAGGTCCAGATTAGAAATCAAATCTCGAATCTCAAAATTAGTTTTCGATGAAGAAAATACAGTATCTAGATTTGAGTGTCAGAAACCAAAAATGTCAACAATAACAAAAATGCAAAGATGACCTAAATTTAATGCAGGGAATTTACTATTTTACATACAAGTTTTCAAAAACTAAGTGACAAAGATATTCACATGTGTAGCTAGTAGGGACTTTGTACAACCACCCCAACGCTCACTCACCCCTCGATCCTGAGGAAATCAGGCATCTTGTTAGTGTGAGACGAGGAACCACTCCATTACAAGATCTCCTCCGACCCAGGAAGCCAATGAGTCAGGGCTCAAAGGCAGCTCTGCAGCTTCACCCGAGTCCTTCGTGAAAACGCAGGCTCCCCACCGGTTAATGCGCCCTCGCCCGTGGCCCAGGCCACGGCTGCCTTCCCCCAGCCCAGACCGACAGGCAGATTTCTCTCCCGGACTGAGGCGAGAGGGGGCGCCGGCGCGGACTCCGGACTGCCCGGCTGGCCCGCGCATTCCCCGGCTCGAGCTCGCTGGGATGGCCCCCGGGGCTTGGGTTTCACTCCCCAGAAAGGATGGGGACGCTCTGGATGGGTACGACCTTCCGTTGGGCCCCAGGAAGTGTCTAGGGTGCCTGAAGGGGGGGTTGAGTTTTCCAAGTGGAAGTCAGAGAAAATACTCCCATCTTTGTCACCGGAATTCCTGCCCCATAGCGGCCTCGGGGCTCGCAGTAACCTTCCCTCCAAACGCCCGCCCCACACAAATACACACAAACACACCCATACCGTGCGCCGCAGCCTCGAGTGGCAGGGGTGTGGGGAGGAAGCGGTCTGAGAGAAAAAGGAGGAGGCTTCCCTTACAGACCGGAAGTCGTGCTCCCGAGAAATTCTTCCTTCCGATGCGATACCTAGAGACTCCACCGTAAGAGTTTCCTGGACGCTTCTAAAGTTCACGGGTACAGAAAGAAAGCAGGCGCTTTCTAGGAAGAGAAGCGCTTCGGATTCCGCTGAAAAGCAAGCCCGATACCTGAAGAGGGAAATTCCGGAACTGGATGTAAGGAGACCTTTCCGCATGGAGCTTCTCGGACCCAATTAAATGTTGTACCCAGTCTGGTTACCCGGGTAACAGACGTCGCGGTTTGTCTGGGAACGCGAAGAGGTGGGTTCCCAAACCTTTGGAATGATTGTCCGTTAGTTTTATATTTAGTCTAATCCTAATACTGTACTTCAAGAATCTACAGCTCCTCTTTTCTCATTCCGTGGATAACGTGGGACATCTTTCCAGTGGTGGGCAGTAAGGATGAGGATGGTTATCTCAAATGTAGAAAGAATATTATCTCTCATATGTTCACCAAGTGTTCCAGCTTATTTGTATTAGCTTACTTAATCCTCACAATAATTATGATAGGTACTGTCATCTTCATTTTGAGAAAAACTGAGGCATATGCTCTTAACTACTAAATTCCACAGAGGATTAGAGAAATCTCATGTGGCCCTCACCCCATATACATAATTCTGGCAATTTAAGGACCTGGGATGCATCAGTTAGCTGATATACAGATGTTGGTATAAGATCACCAGGAAACCCAGGCTTAAAATGATTGTTCCCTCAGCATTTAAGCTCCAGGTAGAGATAGAGGACAAGGCCTTACCTGAGAGGACAACTTTAGAACTTAGGAAATGGTACTAGATAATTATAAGATAAAATGATGTTGATGCACGCTCCTTTAGACACATGTTAGAGATAGCTGATAACTTCACTAAAACAATTCTTTTTTTTTTTTTTGGTATGGGGGATTGAACTCAGGACCTTGCACTTTCTAGGCAGGCTGCGGCACCACTAAGCTAAATCCCTGGTCCTCCAAAACCATTCTTCATCCATTCCTCCTCTCCTAAAAGAAGAAACGAATCAATAGTTATTAGAAACAATAATAGAAACAATAGATATTGTTTTCCTTAAATCGTGTCTTTCCACAGGTTTCAGCAGCCTAATTCATCATCAATCATGGAGACTTCCTCAAAGGGTCTGCTCACCCAGATTACTCAGTTCTGGAACCTCCTAGATGATCTAGCTGAAAGTGACCCGGAGTGCTATAAGAACTTCATTCAGCAAGAACTGAAAGAGGGAAAAAAGCTCTGTGCTGGCCCAGAGCCACAGTTCTGTCTACAGACCAGCATTCTGGTATTTAGAATTGGTGCCAGGAGTGGGGAGGTCTTGAATGAATTTAGCCTGGATTAATCAGAGAACACCTACCCTTAGCTATTGCTACTTTAACAGAAGAAAATTTGATGGAAACTGCCTTTGTAAATAGAAACTAAAACAGTATAGAATATTGTGTTGAGGGAGAAAGAATGGTAAATACGTATCTGATAATGAGATAATGAAGTGGTGAAATAGGGTGATATGCACTAGGAACAAATGATCAGTTCCCCCTTCTTCCACCCAGTTCCTTTCAGAAGGAGCAGCAGCTGAATTCATGATGAAAATAGCCAACCACTTTAGAGAAATCAAGTAACAAAAATACAATTTATCATACACAGTTTTAATACATGGAATGAATTAGCACCTAAAAAACTCTCCCTCTTCCAATCCTGTGATAAACGAATTTTAGGACATAATCTTAACTTTTTTAAAAACTTGACTTTGAGATATCAAAATTATTCACTTTCCAGAAGCCAAAAGAAAAAATACTTTTTATCAATGTGTGTCAGTGGAAAAGGATTCCCACTCCCCAATCAACTACACATCCAGTACCTCTAAGTGTTGGCAGACCAGAAGACATCACTGAGACATCAGGTAAAAAGAAAAGAAAGAAAGCACATTTAAAAATATTTATTGGGACCCAGGTACAGGAACACATGCCTATAATCCAGCTACTTAGGAGGCTGAGGCAGGAGGGTCACAAGTTTGAGGTCAGCCTGGGCAATTTAGGGAGAACTTATGTTAAAAAAATAAAAAGGATAGCCAGGGATGGTGGCACATGCCTGTAATCCCAGCACTAGGGGAACTGAGCAGGGGGATTATGTTAAGTTTGAGGCCAGCCAGAGCTACATAGTGAGTTCAAGGCTAGTCTGAACATAGTGAGACCCTGTCTCAAAAAAGAAAACAAAAGGAAAGAAAAGAAAAGAGGGAAGGAAGATGGGGATAGGGATATAACTTAAAGTAAGGCCAGTACAACAACAACAAATATATATACATATGAATATGGACTAAATTTTACTTGGCAAAAACATTTCAAGTAAAATATTTTATTTGGCAGTAAAATTATGACAAATTAGTGTACCTGTATGCAAATTCAATACTGTAATTTTATGGGTGCTTTTAATCCATACAAAAATGCTAAACAGGGCTGGAGATTTAGCTCAGTGGTTCTGCCGCCTGCCTTGCAAGCGCAAGGTCCTGAGTTCGATCCCTGTAACAACAACAAAAAAAGCTAAACAGTGCTTAATTGGAATTTTGTGTATATAGCACCATTGTGAATTCTGAAAAATATAGGAATTTATGTTTTGTAGCTTTATCAAGAATATGGTTTAATATATAATCTAACAACATCATTAGAGAAACAAGCTATCTTTATTTCATATCCTCTGAATTACACAGATGAGTACACAGTCATCAATGTTGCCTACAATCCTGAGGTTTTCCAGGCAACAGAAAAGGACGAAGCAAAAAGAGATCAGTTAGAAAAGATGGCTATGAAATGCATTGAGGAGCAATTCCAACTCACTCTCTCACACTCTTACCATATTACCAAATTTAAAATAAAAGGAAGCATTCAAAGAATGAAACAAAATCTGATGGGAATCCAAGCTGATGTCACAGATTTAAGACAAAAAATAACAAAGGGTAAGTTGATGAATGTAAATCAAAAATTAAAATGATTTAAGTTTCTTTTTGCAATTTGTATACATTTTTCAAACTAGAAGTCTTGATTTTCAAAGATGATAAACTTTAGGGCCGGGTATTTAGCTCAGTGGTTCTGCCACCTGCCTTGCAAGCACAAGGTCCTGAGTTCGATTCCCGGTACCAAAAAAAAAAGATGAGAAACTTTAGAAGAATATTGCCTATAATCTCAGCATTCAGGAGGCTGAGGGAGGAGGATTGCTGAGAGTTCAAGCCCAGCCTAAACTACACAGCGAGGTCACCCCACCAAAAAAAAAAAAAATACACACACAGATTAGCTATTTTTAAATGTTAGCATATCCATAAAGATTTTAACTCCTACAAAATTCTCAACCAAAATTTGTGGCTTAAAATTCCTGGTTTGGGGCCAGGGATTTAGCTCAGTGGTGCCGCCACCTGCCTCGCAAGTGCAAGGTCCCAAGTTCTATACCAACTACAAAAATAAATTAATTAATTAATTAAATTCCTGGTTTTATTGTTTGTTTGTTTGTTGCAGAACTAGGGATCTAATAGAACTCAGAGCCTTAAATGCCAGGTGAGCATTCTACCACTGAACTATATCCCTGACCTCGTTAAAGATTCTTTTGGCTTAATATTTCCAAACTAATTTAACTGCAGCTTAACCTGCCATCTCAGCTTATACAACATATCTTACAGCTTACAGCCTGATAGTACTTTGTGATTTTTTATCTTGCCTTTTTTCATAAAGAACACACTCTTGAACAGTTAAGAAACAGCACTGTGAACAATTCAGAACACTTTCTTCATCTATTACTGCCAAAAGACCAAGTTTCAAGCAAAGCAAGATGTCTGATACAAGAGATTTCTAGTACTGAAACCCAAGTGGAGATGAAGATACCAGTCTATGACTTAAAAGTTTTGAAGGATCAGCATGAGAAACCTCTGAAAATTGAATTGAAAGTTGACTTACCTGGTATTAATAAAGTCTCTCTCTGTGACCTTAGTGTTTCTAAGGTAAGTTGAATAGTTAACACAGTAGTCCCTTGGTATTCATGAAGGGCTCTTTTCAGTAACTCCTGCAGATACCAAAATCCATGGATGCAGAAATCCAGTATATAAAGTGGCATAGTTATATAAAATTTGCATATAATGTCCTCCCATATACTTTAACATTCACAACGGGGCTGTAATTCATATGTCTCACAGCTGGACAGTTCTGAACCTCTGGTGGTTCATGCATGACTATCCCATTGGGCAGCAAGAGACAGACCCATCAGATGGGACAGTCATGCATGTACCACTGGTGGTTCAAGCCAATGGGAACCTGTTAAATCATCTCTAGATTAAAATATCTAATACAGTATAAATGATAAATAGCTGCAATTAAGTCAGCTTTGTTACTATAAAAAGTACCTAAAATAATCAGCTTCTAAAAACATTTTATTTTAGCCCATGTTTTAAGAAATTCCAGTCCATGATCAGCTTGCCCTATTGTTTTTAGGTCTGTGGTAAGGCAGCACATCATGGCAGGAGTTCATGGCAGAGAAAAACTGCATATTTTATGGCCAAAGAACAACAGAGAGAGGGAAATGACCAGGGTCCCATACTCTGCTTGAGGGCCATCCCCACATCCCAGTCAGCTAAAGACTTCCTACTGGTCCCCACCTCCTAAAAGTTCCACAGCCTCCTGATAGCTACCTCCCTGGGGAGCAAACCTTTGTTGCATGGACCTTTGGGGACATTAAGATCTAAACTATCTCATATTGTTACTGTATTGTTTAAGGAATAATCTGAGGGGAAAGGGTCTTTTACATGTTCAGTAAGGTGCAAACATCAGAGGGCTAACTATCGTACATTTTCATCAATCCAAGGTAGGTTGAATCCACAGATATAGAACCTTCAGATACAGAGGGCCAGATGTATGTTAAATTTGTACCAGTCAGCATTCACTGTATTATATTGTAATAGTAGCAAACTCCAACATTTCAAGGGCTTATAATAATTTGCTCAGGTTACACATCAGCTCCATGAGTCTTGCTTGCACATTCCTAGATCCAGGTGAAGGGGCAGTTCCCATCTGAGATATGTCATTTTCCTAGGAGAGGTAAAATAGAAATGGCCAACCTATGCAGTGGATCTAAAACTTCTACTTAGGCATGGCATATGTCACTTCTGCTTATATTTCATTGACCAAAGCATCTCACAAAGCCAAATCATACACCAGTAGGACTGGAAAGTATATTCTTTTCATAGGTAATCACAGGAAGTCACTTGGCATGGATGTATAATCCCCTTGTAGAAAAAGAACAAACAGTTGGGACCAGTCCTATGGTCTACCCATTTGTCCTCTTGGTCACAGATACTTGATTCTTTCTTCAAGGAAAATACCTCTAATCTCAGTACCAATATTCCAAAATACAGGATTTTGTCATTATATATAGTCTGTGGTTTGTTCCTTTAACTACAGACCAATGACATGCCAAGTTATCTACCCCCTGAATTCTATTCACCATACAATGGGGAATGGAGACAGATAACCATAATTAATAGTCTCATTTCAGAAATGGAAAAATATAAGGCACACTACAATTACTGGTGCACAAATTCTGAAATCCTAGTAGGCAAACCTTTTGAGGGCCCCTTGTGTGGAGATGGGTATTTTTGCTTTTCCTTGAAGTTTCCTTCATTATCTAGCTTCCTAGTCTTATTTTTCATGACCTTCAGCTCCATTCTTTGGGAGGTTATTTTCTTCTTCCAGTATAAACTTTGGCTACATCCAAAAGTAGTGATTATACCAGTCTTAGGTGCTGAGCAGCTTCTTCATCCTGTATTTTTCCCCCCTCATTGTTTCTTGCACATGGAATATTCAAAGGCCAAAGAATGTTTTAAATCAGTTCTTGTTATTGATTCCAGCCAGTGCCATAATCTTTCAGACATGTTTGTGTCTCAAGAGTTACCTGTCTCATTAGACTTAATTGCTGTCATTTTAGCCAAAATAAGGATTCAATGAAGTGTACCTTAATCCAAATTAAGGTTTTAATTAAGGGGATAAAGACCTGTGATTTAATATTTGTCTCCAGACTTTACTAATAAAAATAATTTCTCAATTCTATCCTTTACCCATAGAAAATATAGTTCCATTGTTTAGCCTCTAAGTCTTAGAATTTGGGGGCTCTGTATATTCCCTTTCAATGCTGTTTGCAAACTGGGCAGTTATTTCCTAGATTCACTTTTCTTATAGTATCTTGTGAAATGTAGTTAGTAGGACCAAACATGCTAACATTCCCCACATCACCTAAAGCCATGAATTAACTAGGTATTGTCTTTAAATTATTGTGATGGTTTCATTAAGAGCTTATCATTATGAAGCATAGATCACCATCTTTCAGGTCATCCCTAAGTTTCCTTGCCATTTGCTAGTTGACCCTGAGGACAATACCATATAACTTAGGAATGACAACATCCTACTTCGGGTACTGTATTAGTTAATATTTTATGTATTAAGCAGCAATCACAATCTCAAAATTTCAGGAATTTACATTGCTTATTACCAACCACATGACAATAAATGGTATCCTCCCCTTAAGGGAATGATCCATTAATACAAACATTGGCCATGAAATACTTTTATCTCTTAAAAATTTCTTTATTCTTAGGATGATTTACTGATCGAGGTCTCTGAGAAGTACAGACTACATCTGACTCTTCCAGAATCTGTTAATACAGAAATGACTACAGCAAAATTTATCAAAGAGAAATCTACATTAATCATCACAATGCCATTGGTATAAAACAAGAGCATCATATTTTGGGTTTTCAGTGCTATAAATCGTGTGAATTATAGGTCCTATTATGGATAAAGAGGTAGTACCTTATCTTAAACATTACTTCCGTGTTTTTTCTTTTCTTTTCTTTTTTTTTTTTGGTACAGGGATCAAACTCAGGACCTTGGCGCTTGCAAGGCAGGTGGCAGCACCACTGAGCTAAATCCCTGGCCCAATTCTGTGCTAAGAGTTCTTTTTTTTTTTTTTTTTGGTAATGGGGATCAAACTCAGGATCTTGTGCTTGCGAGACAGGCAGCAGAACCACTGAGTTAAATCCCCAGCCCAGGAGTTCTTTTTAATGGATCGACATTTTCCCTTCACCTGTTATATTTATTTTTAAACTGACTTTTCCTTCTCAAATAAACTTGGCATCAACCAGAAACTACTAAAACAGTGCAGAGGTGAGGTAATTATTTCAATGCTATCTATAGTGATCTTAAGTAACTTAAACATCATTTGGGGAAGTTCTAATTTTTTTCAGGTTAAGATGTGGGAACTCTTGGCCACTTGAAAAAATAAAACTCCAGTAAATTTTTCTATCAGGAAAACATCTCAGACTGTGCAAAAAAGTTATTATCAGGGTGGGCTTTGCAGTGAAAGTTCCCTCCAGCAATACAGATGTAGGCCCAAATATATTCAAACCTACGCTCTAATGTATTTCTGTACTTCAATAAAACAGCTCTGCCAGGAGTCCAGGTACCCAGCCAGACCTCTTCCTATCAGATACGGACATGTCTGTGGATGAGATACAGTGATACATAACAGCAATCAAATGTTGTTGCACATCACAAGCTAAATAAATCCATCTCTAATTTGAGAGAAAGTGGACTTTGGACAAGTATGTTTTCTCCTACAGAAATGAAGTAATAGAATTTCTAACTTCCATTTATCTCTTCTAAGCTGCCAAACACCAAAGTACCATCTGATTTATATTCCAATTTAGCAATATGCATATCAAACTTTAATCATCTTTTCTAGACAAAACTTCCTGTAATTATTAGTGTATACTTCAACATGATTATAAATCTTTACTTATTTTAAAACTTTAATGGTAACAAAGTTTTATTAAAGGTTAAGAAACAGGCTCTGAGGAGTGAGTTTGGGCCAAATGAAAGTACACCCTAGAGAGTGAGGATGGCCACCATGCAAGACTGAACACAGTGGCCTAAAACTTAACTTTAGAAACTAATGCTGTATGTATAGGAAATTATTTGTGACACTTAAAAGCAAATGTACTTTTTTTTAAACTTGACATAGATTTGATAATTTAGCTCTTGAAAACTTTCTGGAATGGCATGATGACCTAAAATTATTAACAGTTATTATACTTTTATCCTTCAAAACACTGGAAATCAGCTGGGTATGGTGGCACAAGCCTGTAATCCCATCATTCAGGAGGCTGAGGCAGGAGGATTGCCATGTGTTCAAGGCCAATCTGGGCTACATTGTGAGAACCTGTCTCAAAAACCTGAAACTTGAAATCCCTTCACATCTTTTCTTCTACAAAACAGCCACAGTGTATTCCTAGAAAATCTCCCACCTAACCGCATAGAACTAAATCTCTACTTTTGTATGCAATATGTAGGTGTTGCTTGCATTACTATTTCTGTACTTGTTAACAAAAATGCATAACATTTAATATACTTAATTTTACAATGTTAAATTCTTATTTTCTTGTTCTCACTTATTATTAATGGATTTTTACATTAGTAAAAACATCTTTCATTTTCCTCCCTACAAAAAACCAAACTGTTGCCAGGAAGGACATTAATAAAATGTGGACTTGTTTAAATTTGAACCTGTTTTTTTTTCCCCTCAAAGTTAGAAATTTAGACTAGATTTTTCTACAAACTTTGTTTTAGATCACTTACCAGTAGTGACTATGATTTCCCTGTGTATTCCAGCAAATTGTGCATTACAGGTAATGATAGCATTTCCTTGCAACATATTCCTGTCATCTCCACATGCTGATCTCCTTTTGTACACGATGCCTTGAGATAACATAACTTCATATGCACACATCTCAGAATCAGAAGTAAATTCCTCTAATAAAGCCAGACCTGAGGCACTTTCCATTTTGGTATAAGTGCCACACCCCAAGATGGAGTGCTTCATTACCTCCTTAAGTTTAGAGGGCAGTATTACATCCTCCTAAATTCAATCCTTATTTTACTGGTTACATAAAGTTTGTATGTATTGAGCACTTATAAGCACACAGCTGACACTGGATCTTAATCATTTAATGTAAAAGAAATCCCCAACAGATCAAAAATTAGACCAGACATATTGAAAACAAAGTTTAATTTTTAAGTAATCTTATTTAAACAACACTTTTTCTAATTTTCTTCCTTCAGTTCTGGTAAGAGAAATATAGTCACTCCAGATTTAGATTATAGCTGAGATAAATTCTTAACTCAAGCCATTTTTAGTAGGTGGCAACTTTATTTTTCCTTCAAGGGAACAAAGAGAGCCACAAACATTAGGAAAGAATTATTTTTGAAGATTCATCTGGTGGAACCAGATCTGGCCCAGAATGATGATGGTCCCTTGTGATAAACTTACTGTTTTTACGTAATCTTCAATTCAACCTAAAATTACTAATTATTGAAAAGTCACATTAATGTAGTGAACTGTTTTCATAATAATATAGTAAAGTAAATGTTTGTGGAAAATATGGAGTGTCACTTACGCACCATGTAATAATGAACATTGAGAAATAATTCAACACATTGAAACAAAGCAAATCTCAGATGATAGCTCCACATATTACATATACAAGGAAGCACTGGTCAGGTTTATTTTAAATAGTCATAAATAATTCCAAACATTTATTAAAACCCATCAATTCAACAGAAAGTCTGGAATTGTGGTAATGTTCCCAATTCATTTTTATTATCCTAAATATCATGTCCTCCTTCCCTCTAAAAGAAAAGCAAGGGGCTGGGGATTTAGCTCAGTGGTTTTGCTGCCTGCTGCGCAAGCACAAGGACCTGAGTTCGATCCCTGGTACCAAAAAAAGAAAAAAGAAAAAAGAAAAGCAAAGCAAAACACAATAAAATTAAAATTTAAAAAGTATTTAGGTTGATGAGGTAGCCACTGAATGAATTTTTTTCTCTCCAGCAGGATTTTAGGGCTATCTTGTTTTACATGAGACAATGTTAGGGTCAAAAAACACTTCTAAAATTACATTTATCATTTTTACTTTCTGCAGGCAGAAATCACCATTTTGGGCATCATTTGTTTTATTTTGTTTTTTGAGACATCTCACTACATTGCCCGGGCTGGCCTCAAATTCCTGGGCTCCACCAGCCTCAGCCTCTTAAACAGATGGAAATATAGGCATTGCTAGCTACGGCATCATTGTTTTTAGCATTCTAAACCATTCACAAATATACCCCTTCTCTTTTTTTCAGACAGGACTTGGTGATAGACTTTGGCACATATCCAACTCTAGTAACCATATTTTACATATATACATGTATTTCGTATTTATTTCATAGAGCTTTCCAGTTATTTGAGTAATAAATTCTGATAACTAAGTTCATTTATAATTAGCTATCTTAAAGGAAAATTCTACTTCCACAACTTAAATTCTGTTAAATTTTATATGCATGCTCATTTATTTAAACAAATGCGTAATTCTGAGAGGATTTGTTTAAATAAACACATTTGTTTAAATAAATACCCACATAAATCCTTGTGTATACCAAGAAACTGGCTTATATTTTTATCTTTAGAGGGGAAAGCAACCATTTCATTTAAACATTTATAGAAAAATAAATGTTTGAAGATATCTAAGAAAATTTTGACCATTTAAAATTTCATCTATTTCTCTTGAAGTCCTCTATCCTTTCCATATATGTTAAACCAAAACCCAGATCATGTAACAGAAAAATTTAAACCATGGTTCATATAAAAGTAAGAAAAGTAATTTTCCTTTACATCTAAGAAATTTTAGGCAATTTAATTTTGAACAGCAAAGTGTCATTGAGGTTACTTTTAGTACTTGTCTCTAGGGAAGCACAATTCTGCCTGTCCTGCATCTCCTAGTGGAAATACTTATCACCAGGCTAGCAAATGTCCTTTGCCTAAAAGTATACAGCTTAAAATCTGGTGTTTACGAACAATATCTGGGTATAACTGGCATTAAAAAATTCAGTAAAGCCATTATAAATTTATCTGGAAAGACTCCATAATAAAAATAACTGGTGAACTTTAAGAGAACCATGTTTAATAACATAGACATATCCTAATAAGAATGAACCAATGTGACCTGATGTGACCAATGTGAGTCTGAAAATTTTTAGGTCAATTATAACAACATAGTAATAGGTTTTTCAAGGTACTTTCTAAACTCAGCAAGCCACTGGGCTCCAACTGCTCCATCCACAACTCGATGATCACAACTGAGTGTCACAGACATCATGCTAGCCACATCAAATCTAGAAAAAGTAAAAACATTATTAGGATTATGAAGGCAATCAATAAATTTTAGTCGGTATCCACCCATATGCTGATTCCTGTGCTCAATCCTACCCAGATAATACTATTTTCCACCTATTACTCATGTCCCCCATATAGTTACCTCAAATTAACAGCTTGAAGAAAAAGACCAGACACATGGAAACATGGGTAGGCAAACTACGCCATATATCCCTAATCCTATACTCTGCTGTGCATTTCTTAAAAAATTATTTTATGTATTGTTTATGTCTGCTTTTATATTAGAATGGCGGGGCCAGGGATTGAGCTCAGTGGCACTGTGCCTGCCTTGCAAACACAAGGTCCTGAGTTCGATCCCTGGTGCAAAAAAAAAAAAAGAAAAATATATTAGAATGGCAGGGTAAATACCCAACAGTCTGTATGGCCCAGAAAGCCTCAAGTATTTACTATCTGACTCTTTAAGAAGTGTGCTGACTTCTCACCTAGAGTAAATCTATTCAAAAGGATCCCATCTCAAACATGATTAATTGCATTTAATAAAAATTGGTGCCCTAAGGAATTTCATTCCACGTTTTCATTCTATTGAAGAGCCAATATACCATCCAAATAACTGTCAGTAAAACTGAATCTCAAAAAAAAAGTACAAAGTAATGAAAATGAACTTGTAAGTTCCTCTCCACTTTGACACTTACCCTTTTTCATTATCTGCTGGAACCAATCTATCCTCTGAAGCACCAATTGCTAAAATACAAGCCTGAGGTGGATTAATAATAGCAGAGAAATTCTTAATTCCAAACATTCCTAAATTAGAGATTGTAAAAGTACCACCCTAAAGAAAAAAAGAATAAAAATAGATCATATTAATTGCTTGCCAACATAAATCAGAAAAAAGTACAAATAGTCTGTGAAAAAGCTTTGAGATAATCTTTGTTTTCAGAAAGGCCTAAAGAAAATACACATTAATGAAAACTACAACCATTATAATATAGACAAAAGTCAGTTGTGGTGGGTTGTGCATATAGTAAGTTGGAAAATGTCTTATTTTCAGCTTTTGACCTGTGACTTAATTTTTCTTTATTTTCAGGATCTTATTTCAATAAGAGTATGTGGCAGAATCGGAAGGTAGAAAAGGCAACAAAAGCATCAGGCTCACCTTAAAAATTATATAATCCTTGAAAGTTAACAATTAGTATGTTACCTGGAATTCCTGTGGTTGTAGTTTACCCTCTCTGGCTTTGGTTGCTAAAGAAACAACATCATTAGCAATGGTTTCCAGTCCTTTTATATGTGCATTAAAGACAATAGGTGTGATGAGTCCTACAGGAGTACTGACAGCAACACTGACATCAACAACATGATTTCTGTTTAAAAAGAAAAAAGGATTCAATCCTCAGTACCTCCAAAAAGCAAACAAACAAAAAAGATCAACACCAACATTTATCAAAAGCCTAAGGCTAGAGTATAGCTTAGTGGTAGAGCACTCACGTAGCATCCATAAGGCCCTAGGCAAAAAAAAAAAAAAGAAAGAAAGAAAACAACAACAACCAAGAACAACAAAAACCAAACCTATATGCCAGGTTAAGTAAGAATGGGTATTTATCTCAAAAAAAAAAAAAAGAACTAAACACCAAGGCAGGTATGCTAGTGCACAACTGCATTCTCAGCACAACGGGAAGCTGAGACAAAAGGATTAGAATTTTGAGCTGGAAAATTTAGCTTAGTGAGACCGTCTGAAAATAAGAAATTATAAAAGGGCTGGGAATGTAGATCAGTGTAAAGGCCCTGGGTTCAATCCCCAGTGCTCCTCACACACAAAATTAGGATCTGTTTGTGCTACTATTCAGATGTCTGCTTCATAATTTTTACCTTTTGCTGTGCTTTTTCCTTGATTTGCACTTTTTTTTTTTTTTCTTGGTACTGGGATCGAACTTGGGTCCTTGTGCTTGCCCAGCAGGCGGCGAAACCACTGAGCTAAATCCTCAGCCCTGATTTGCACTTTTGAAAAATGAACAAGTCGGGTAGACTGGAGCATACCTGTAATCCCCACTATTCTAGAGGCCGAGGCAGGAAGATCATTAAGTTGGAGGCAATTTAGTAAAGTCGTATTCCTAAATTTAAAAAGTTAAGCAGTGGAGAGCTCAGGCTGTGCGGGATTCAGTGGATGGCGGGACCCCTCCTTTAGCCAGGTTTTGCAGGTGTGGTTTTTAGAGGGATGGGTCTGAAAGTACTAGGACTAAGTCTAGGGTTCTGCTTGGTTCCCCTTGCTGCCTACTTCCAGCACAGAACTCAATGGTCTGTTTGCTGTCCCCAGGCAACAACATGATCACCACAGTGATGAGGGACTGGCAGGACTCAACATTCCCACAGCAAAAAGATGTGGAAACACAACTGGCTCGAGTTGTGACTCACTATCCTTTCCCCTTATCTGGTGGATTCCAATAGTACAGGTTCTAGAAAGAAACTACCCATCAAACAGGGATGTAGAGTAATTTCTTTGATTGTTTCTTTTTTTGTTGTTGTTCTTAGGTTTATATGTCACAGCCACAAATTAGAAACAACCTAATGTCTAGTTCTATATCCATACAATAGAACACTACTCAGTAATTACAAAGAATGATTAAATATATATAACAACATGAATACATCTCAAAATAATTCATGCTGTATTATTACATTCATTTAAAGTTTACATACTGTACTGTATGCTGATTACATGTCAATAAACTGTTACATATACATCAAAAATCTCTAAAATTGGGCCGGGGATTTAACTCAGTCGTTTCGCCGCCTGCTGCACAAGCGCAAGGACCCAAGTTCGATCCTGGTACCAAGAAAAAAAAAAAAAAAAAAATCTCTAAAATTATTATATATTGCTCCTAGAATATTATTCTATAAAAATGTTTTCAAAGAACTTTTGGTAACATGAGAAAATGTTTATGGAATATAATTATGAAACTGGCCAAGTATAAAATTATACAGGCCAATCTCAACCACATAAAAACTTATGTAATATATACATATAGACAAATTTCTGGTCGGAAACAGTTCTATATTATTGTTTTCCTCTGGGAATTGGAATTAAGAATGATTTAAATTTCCTTCATGATTTTCTCAATTTTCAAAGGTTTTTTTGGTTACTATTGTCTTGCTTTATTATTACCTTCATTTTACCTGATCTTCCAATATTCTTATAAGCAGTAAAAATTTTTTAAAGTGAAGGGAAAGAATGTAAATAATTATCCATCCTGACAAGTGATTACAACCTGTGCAGCACAGGTCCTGTAATGATCAAGGAGAGACAGAATTTGTACAGGCATCAAACATTATCTGTAGACAAAGTAACAGATTTCACTCAGATGAACTACTATTTTTCAGACACACATGGTGGTGCATGCCTGTAATCCCAGTACTCTGGGAGGCTGAGGAAGGAGGACTGCAAGTTTGAACCCAGCCTGGACAAGTTAGTGAGACCCTGACTCAAAATAAAAAATTTAAAAGGGCTGGGAATGTGAATCAGCATGAGAACCAGGGTTCAATCTCCAATACCACAAAAACAAAACAAAAACAATATGAATGCTATTTTTCAAATGTTCACTTATCCATTTAAATTCAACCTTACTGAATTTATAGAACCTCTACTGCTCATATCAACAGATTCTAAAAGTTAAATGACAAACACAGAAATTGTTTGAGAATGTATTCTCACATATATAGTGCCTATAGGCTGTTTTAATTGATATTTCTTCTGCTTCCATACTAGTATATAGGAAGAGTTAAACAACATACTTAGCATTCAATTGATGGAAATTCCATTACATGCTCCTGTTTCTCTACTGACTTTTAATTATGCTCTAAACTACCTTTTTCTAAGCTATTGTCAGACCTGTGCTTCCTTATATTGTTAACATCCCAGAACAGAATTTAAGGTTATAAAAGTAAATTAAACAAAGTCAAATATGCTCAGTACTCATAAGGGCCCTGTAAAAGCTGTTTCAGGTAAACCTGAAGAAGTCTACAAATGTACGATTAAGATTACTAGAAGTGGGGCCAGCGATTTAGCTCAGTGGTTTCGGCGCCTGCTGCCAAAGCGCAAGGACCCGAGTTCAATCCCTAGTACCAAAAAAAAAGATTACTAG